CCCCCCCCCCCCCCGACCGAGACTAATGGAGCATGAAGTGGACCTGAGCTATAAATGCTGATGCAATCAAAGGATGCCAATAACCTGTGAAATGCAAACTGTTCCTATGGATGACAATGGAGCAGAGGGAAAACGAGGGCCTGGACAACAGAGAGTGACTGGATTTCCTAAATACACAGAGGATCTAAAGAGCCCGTTTATTGTGGGTTAACTTTTTTTGTTTGCTCACTCATTTGCGTCTGTTCTTCACATGGTTTCACCAATAAGACCTCCAATTGGAACGACCGTGTAGGTCTTTGTGCCGACCCTAATCCTGAATGTTTATATAGAAACAGGTATTTTTTTGCCTCTAGTTAGGTTTGATTGGACAAAAATAGTTTGTTGTCATACCTAAATTAATAAACACAAGGTTAACTCATGGAATAGTCATGTTTAAAAGAAGTGTTGACTTTCAGTCTGAAAAAATGCATCAAGAAGCATCCTCCTGTGTTATGCACAATGTTTTGTTGACCTGTCCATCCACACCGGCCTCCTCCATATTTGAGCTTTATGTTGTTTCACTTCTTCCTTTGCTACCATCATAATTACTACAGCCAGCAGAGAGCAATGTCACAATACAGCACAACTATGGGTTGTAACAAACGGTCCACAGGGTCATTTTTTATGGGAAGAAAGTCTCGATTCCTCAGACAGCACTGAGCGGATGTTAAATAAAACGCTGTGAATGATGCAACTCCACCTCGCTGGCTGAAATACCGGTCAGTATCTGGAACACAGGACTGAATGAAGCATGCGTCAGATCAGCTAAGTTACTGTGACGATCCATCCAGCGGCTGCCGTACCTCACATGAGTGATCATCCCCGCATCATACTGATAACAATAAAGCTATTACAGTGATAATTCAGTGCTGCTGACCGACTGAGATCTTATCTGAGATAAAACGCTGTCCGCTCATATTAATAGATGGCTTTTCACACCTTTCACCTACAGTATCCTCTTCCCAAGGCCACACTGTTTCCCTGCCTTTATTTCATATGTTATCATGGGACATACAGACTGCGTTATGATTTGAAAAATATCATGAAATATTTAGCTGTACATTGCATTGTTATCAGTTTTCCATGAAAAAAAAAAATCCTAGAATGTGTTATTTATTTCAACTGTTAGAAACCAACTAAAATTTAAATACAAAACAGCTAATAACAAATTTAGATTACAGTCTAATTTAAAAAAAAAAAAAAATAGCACTTGGAATGTACTGTAAGCGTTGTTTCATTGCCCTGAAAGACTCTTGCTTCATAATCATTTGCATTTGCAGTTCATTTACATTTAATACCCAATTCCCTGCTCACAGGCCATTACTGGAAACACGTCTTTTCAGTGTGAACTGTAAACAATACTGAATACTGTCTTCATACAGCAGGAAATGCAACATCCAATGAGTGAGGGCATACAATTTGGCTAAAAAGGCCTTTTCCGCACGCATTCAAAATGGAAATCAGCCATCGTTCATTACACATGTGGTTCTCCTACTGCTGAATGTCAGAATAATTTGGTTGGAGTAGAGGCAGGTCTGAGAAGTGGTTAGATTTCTGTGTGAATTTCATATAAACGCTGGTGATGAGATGCTCAGGAGATCAAGGTGGTTTTTTGGAACCAGGCTGCGTGTTCGCAGAGCATGACAGGGAACGGCTGGCTTAAGCCTGATTGAAGAGCTAATTGGTTTAGACGTTGGATCACGAACATGAACATTCATGGCATTAATGTCACCATACAGATCATTCTATAGTCTTCAGACAATCTATCAGTTCTAATCAATTATATATGAACATTAGGATCCTGATTTAATTCTTGAAGTAGCTTAGCGGCACAAACATTTGTGGTAAATGGGGTGTGGGATGTGTACAGATGGTTAAGCCCTGGCAGCCTGTATCTTACAAATCAATAATAAAAGCTATGTCTTATATTGATTTCCGCCAACAGCGTATCTGACTATTATTTTGTAGATGTGTTGGTATAGTCAGAGAGGGACAGGTGCAGCTGTAACGTGTGGTCAGCTGGTAGGACTCTGCTTTAGATGACAGATTACATGAGATGGACTAAACTACAAAAATGGCATTTAACTAAAGCTACCCTGTCATAATTAAGACAATTGGTGTTTGTTTAAATGCTGAACAGGTTGGTCTGCTAGCATTTTATTAAAGTGGAATCAGATATAACAGGATGTGAGTGCTTCTGTGACCTGCTGTACAGACGGAGACATTCTTGCTTTCCAGGTGGGTTTGTGTCGAACAAGCCGACTGTTTTCTGTGACAAAGGATCATTCTTAACTGAGACGATCCCTGAGGACAGGCCCGCAGGTGTTTGCACTTGTGCCTGATCGGACACATTCTCAGGACTGTCCTTCACTCTTCTGTCTCCTCTGTTCCACCAACCAACTCCAGCCTAAGCAGAATTTAATGCAGTCTTAAGTAAAAACACCTGCAGGGAAGTACACAACCATTCAAGAAGAGCCTGTCTTGCATGAATGCTGCATTCATTCAATGTTGGCAAAAACTTATTCAGACTTACTCTGGGAGCATTAGTTAAGGTGTTCAGGTGCACGCAGGCGCATCAGCCAAACTAATAAGCAGACTCATAGTCAACAGTTGCTGCCTCCACAATGAATGCCTTTCTCAATCGTCCCCCGCCAACCGCTCCCTTGTTTGTGCATCTGTATGGAGGATCTGTCACATTAAACGCCAACCTGAACCAACTAATAGGGAGTTTAAGTTAGTCACAAAATCCTCCAATCGTGAGTTTGCATCAGTGCTGACTTACTAACAACACTGAATTGAATTGAACGAGACATTGAATTAAACAGATGGAAGGTTTCACTGTCTTATTTTCAAATATATCAGAGTCTATCCTCATTTGATAGTTCGGTGTTTAGGAAAGTTTATCCTGAACTTAGCTCTGTATTTATACTCTAAATCTTAATAAAGGTGATTTATGCAGCGAGTCACACTCCATGATGGAGGGTACAGTTTAAGGGAGGCCCTTTGTCAGACATACTGTTTGTTCATTTGTGGCTCTGGTATCTTAAATCTGTGTTCTTTTATCAGTTATGTTTTATTGTGTAGCTGCTGTGCTAGGAGCACCAGCACCTTGACTTATTATATTTCTCTTATCCCCATGACAGAGTGGATCTGCTGTGACTTTTACTGTGACAGTGCTCTCTTTGTCTGCAGGCAGAGAACTGACTGCTGTTTATATTCGTGTCTAGTATAGTCAGTGTAGGTCGTATTTGGGGAAGCACATTATGTTGTTTCAGCAACATTGTGATATAGCAATAAGCAATAAGCACACCACAGAAACATTCCTACTGTACTCATCTGCAAGAGAAATCTGATAGAACATAATTTATTCCGATTTAAAGGTTCTTGAATACAGAGAGCTTGTTTTTTTTAAACTTCATTTTCAAGATATGGAGACTGACACCATGCTCCACTTGTGCACAACAAGTAAATAAGAAAAAGGAGAGAAAAGCAAAAAGAAACGCAAAAGTAATATGTTGACTAAAGCAGGTGCTCTGCTTGCAGTCTCTTGCATTTGCTGCAGAACAACTGATTTGTTTAACCATTTACATCTGCACCACAGAGCTCTGTATGAGGAGAGCAAAGCCAGATCTCACCGCCATCCGAAGCACCAAATGTAAAACGTTCCTGATGACAACACTGAGCTTTTTAAAATTATTTTTTTTATTTTTACAAAAGCACCCCAGTTGCTCTAGAATGATTAACTCTTTCTAAATAGAAATGACTAAAGTCATATATATCTATTGCTTAAAAAAACAAAGACTGCCAGTTTGTACTGATATCGTTCAGCCCAAGTCTGATTTATTGTATTTATCATTACTGCTTTTAGTCTTTAGTTTATTCTTGCATGTTTGGGTCTTAATTGTTTTTGTCTTCTTTCCAGTACGACGGTATACGCTGACCACCTGTCCTGGTCAATGTGCTGGAAGTTGAAATTTTATATTCTGAAGATGGTGCCACATGTTGTGACAGTACTGAGGATGAATGACAGCTGCTCAGAAGTGGTGCAACTCTGTATGACGTTACACAATGTCCATTAGTCATCTTTTTTAAATTAAAAAAAACAAACATTTTTTTTGGTATATTTTAAAAAAGGCTAGCGCTAAATTTCAAACACACAGAGTCAAGATATAATATCAGTAATTTTCTCAATGTACTTTAACAGTTTTACCTGCATATTTATCCTATTTCCAATAGTTCTAATGTTGAAACTGTCTGAAAATTCTTAAAAGAATAACCGAGTCATTTTCATGAATGTTACACCAGAACAGTTCATAGCAAACCCTTCATTGTGAAGCCATGACAACATTTAATGCAATCCCACATCAACACAAGTGTGAACTGCATCTGAAACTCACACTCTTTGGACATCCCAACAGCGAAACACTTCTGCAGGCGGCAGTACTGACAGCGGTTCCTCGTCACCTTGTTGATGATGCAGTTCTTGTCCCGATGACACGTGTACACCATATTCTTCTGGATGCTTCGACGGAAAAAACCCTGAGGAGACAGACAGAAGGGGAGGTGTGTCATGAAAAGGAGGCTCTCACGACGTTAACCTCATTTTGCTTCTAATCTTCTGTAGCTGCCTATTTTCTAAAACATTCACACAGCTCCATTAAAATTCTCCTGCCACTGGATATCAGAATGTCACCACAGTCTGTATAACAATGTGCTGGATGTTTTGTCTTTTCATTGCCATTAGGGCTGAGAGAAAAGAGAGTTGGTACGTCCCTGCTGGGAGCTCTGCGGAGCTTCAAATGTTGGATTTAAGCTCAGAAACAGAGTACGAGTGGGAACAGAGTGAAGAACCTCAGGGTATCAAACAGTGAGGCTGCTGGTGCAGTATGGAAGCAGAACCGAGGACTTTGGTTCAGCTGCGGGCGGGGAGCCTCGTGTCTGAACTTGACAAGGTGACATTGAGCTTCTGTGGAAGACCAAAGCCATTTGTCTTTCAAATGAATGCTTTCATTGTCATTCAGTGGCACAGCAGTGAAGTAATGGATCTTAATTGGGCTCATTCAGTGTGTTAGTGTTCAAAAAGATATAAGTACCTAAGTACCAAAAACACTTGTGACAGTGGAAGAGCTTGTGTTGATGGAGGGGATCATTACAGTTTGAGGCGCTGTGCTTTGGGATACGCGTCAAGCTCAGGGGCTATATTCACAAAGAGTTTTATTACCTCTAGGACTACTTCTAAATGGCACTAAAAGTTCCTAGCTAAGAGTCTCCTCTTAAGAAGTGCTCCTAAGAGCATCTTTTAGCAAGGAGCAAAGAGAACTCTGAAGCTAAAGGAGTGCTGCTATGGATGACGCCATGTTTGATTACCACTTCATAAATTAACCGAGTTAAGGCTGCACTATGTCCACAGCGACGAGTTGGTAAGTTACCAGAATACATCCGAGATACACAGAACTTATGAAACTGTAACGAGCCGTTTTGGTTGATGCATAAATTTGTTAGACAGTTGAGAGATTCCAGTTTCATCAGAACTGCCAATATTATTCCTCCAGTGTCTGTGCAGCAGAGTTCAAAGCATCATGTCCTGTGTTTTTGATTTGTTTCGACTTTAGCTGCCTGAGTCCTTAATAACGTGCTGCCATCAAAATGTATTGAGACACATCACCTTCAGTACATTACTATAAGACAAGTTTTGTGACTCTGAGGTCATCTGGACTGCCTCCAAATTCTCCAACATGCATGTCGGATTCAGACAACACAATGTTTTTGATTTGATTCGTGTGTCACATCAGGCACTTACAGTCCTGAATTCTTGTCATGACTCAGGTGAGAGACATGACAAGGTACATGTTGGTCCCTGACCAATCACAGCCAGAGTAGTTCTCTTACATGAACTTTAAACTCATGCTTATGTTAGTTTATAATATTCTTTCATTATCTGTGTCATAAAACAGATGCCAGCAACTGACATACGGAAACAAGAATATGAACAATTGTATGCAAAGTGGTGTGTATGATTCTGGCTGTCTGGTGTTTAGAAAAGCTAAATGTAAAAACTGAGAACCCATTCATGAGTTGCACCAAAAGGACAGCATGGGTTGCTTATCCTTTATTCTACTTTTTGTTTTGCTCTGTTCCAGGAAGAGCACTCTGTGATCCTGTTGGTCTAAAATGTTGTGCTGTGACAAAAGTGAAAGTATTTTATATCATGTAGCACCATATGGGATGAAACCATTAATTATCATTTTCAATCCCAACCTTAACTTTCAGGTTGGGCTATTATTGTGCATACTGTGTGTGTATATATATATATATTTAGGAGCTGACATGCTCCTTACTTTTAGGAGTTCCTCATGACATGACTACTTTTGGCCTTAAGACCAATTCATGCTTTTCTTGTCCACAAGGATGCATGTGATGTAAATTTATCATTCACTCGGATTCGTGAAGCACCTTTCTGCGGACATCTGCTTGCTGCCCAAAATATGTGATCGTCTGCCTACAATGCAAGCATGCTGACTGTGCATGTGCCAGGAGGATAAAATAGTGCTTATAGCAAATGCTGTATGAGCAGAGACTGTACAACGATATTCTCCTTCATCCACACCTTGATATTTCATCATTAAGAGTTATATTTGAAGTAGTCACTTGCTTTGAAGGTGCTCTGATGTGTACATGCTCTCCATTGACAGTACAAACACAGTTAAAGGTTGTAAACTCTCCAGGCGTCCTGTGCTGTGTCCACCCACTGTGCTCAATACACCTCAGGAATGATCACATTGACATGGTGTACAATCCAGTCTGCAACTAGCAGCTATATATTTGGAAAAAGTGCCGTTTCAGAAAATTCATGGAAGTCTTATGTGTGTTTTTATGTGTTTGATATAAACTGCAATGCGACTGCTTGCATAGCAGACTATAGTATTAATGATGTAATCAAATGTGTTTGTCTGAATTTCAAATTCTTAATGAGAACTTAGATTTAGCATCCATCCATCCATCCATCCATCCATCCATCCATCCATCATCTATACACCGCTTAATCCTCACTAGGGAACGGGGGCGCTACAGCCCACTTCAAAAATAGGCAGTAAGGTGGTTCAGTGGTTAGCACTGTTGCCTCACAGCGAGAAGGTCCCCGGTTTGCGTCCCGGTGAGGACACTTGGGATCTTTCTGCGTGGAGTCTCCATGTTCTCCCCGTGCAGCGTGGGTTCTCTCCGGGTTCTCCGGCTTCCTCCCACAGTCCAGAAACATGCTGAGGTTAATTGGTGATTCTAAATTGTCCGTAGGTGTGAATGTGAGTGTGCTTGGTTGTCTCTAAGTGTAGCCCTGTGATAGACTGGCTACCTGTCCAGGGTGTCTCCTGCCTTCACTCTGAGTCAGATGAGATAGACTCCAGCCCCCCTCAACCCCAGTGAGGATTAAGCAGTGTAGGTAGATAATGGATGGATGTCCTACTCTGAGGGACTCTGACATGTATTCTTTCCATTCTTTATGTATAGCGTATTTTCAGCTGCAGTGCCGTAAGAGAACAAATATCATGGGGTCAAGTGCCATCTTTTTAGAGGACAAAAACATTTAGACATTTAGATCATTGCTAGACGAAATCATCAAAAAATGAAATTGATGGGCATCGTTTTTGAAAGAGAACAAATTTGACGAGCAAAAAGCAATAAATTATGTGTCAGCCTTCATGGCAAGTGACCAGTTCGAGGTCTCTTCCCACACAGTTAGTATTCATTTTCCTAATAGAGGCCTTCATCCTGGCTGATATAAACTGAGTGAGTTGGTCGACTATGCCGGTGAGATCTGACGGATGGCCATGGAACATGATGGAACTCAAATGTAAATTCTGTAACCTTATTGTAATAAGCCTGGCTGAGGGACCTTGATGCCTTTACAATATTTGTCTGAGCAAAAGATGTTTCCACCTTTTGAATGGCCTTCATCCAGCATGCTTTACATTTTCAAACCATCAAAAACCTGTGAAAAGCCAACACAGCGACGTCACACTTTAAAATTCTATATTTAGTTGTCCACTTGCGTGATGCCATAAATGACATTTGGAGCCGTCTTTAAGCAGCCATGTGGCGTGACGCTGTAGACACACTGGACTGTCTCGTTAAAGCAGAGTGATAATGAAGACGATGTGGATCCTCCTTGAAAGTCTCAGGACATGGAACCAGGGCCTGACCTCTGCTCAGTTTGTTGCCAGGCAGAGTGACAGAAAGTAGAGATGCATCTACTGGAAGCAGGAGTCTCCCTGATATTTTTTCCGCTCCTGATATTAATTTGACGTTGGGGTCTTTTGCAATGATCATCCATCATCCAGTCCGTTTGCACATGTTTGCAGGCGTTGCCTGAGGAGCTTTGGGGGGGGGGGGGTTAAATTTCCATTTACCATAGCTGCCTGTGACAGATGGGACCTTGCCTTTTCATTAGTGAAGCAGGATGCATGATGGGTAACAGATTAGATCACAGGACTGAAACGGCTGACTCTGTAGCCCATCTTGCCTCGGCCTCAAGCATCCGTCAACTGCCGGGCCACCCCCTCGGTAGCATAGATCCTGGCCAAAAGCGGCCAATCACGAATGAGCCTTGATGGCACGTGACCAGTCCGAGGTCACCTCCCCTCAGTTGGTATTATTCATTGTCTTAATAGAGGCCTTTATCCTGGCTGATGTAAGCTGAGTGAGTTGGTAGACATTACTTGTGAAGTCTGATGGATGACAATGGAAGCGGCCTGCATCCCCATCAACTGCTATATAAGTGTGTTCAGGTTGGGTGCAGAACCCAAGGCTACTCAGGTACTTATGTCATTCAAACCTGAGAGCATGCAGGTCACTTAGCCTTGGAAATGTATGTGTGTGTGTGTGTGTATTAAGTGCTGTACAGTGTGCTGGGGGGGTTATACTGGGAGCTCGGTGTTGTGCACTTACTACAGAATGTTTCCCAAGACAGATTTACATATTGTGAGCTTCAGCTATTTGGGGAAGGCTTTTTGACAGTTCAAGGTCCGTGTTGCAATGCTCCTCATTTAAATTTGCCTTATCCACATTATGGATATATTTCATTAAATATACAGAATGATGAGAAAGTAATAATCCGCAATGTTTTTAGAGTAATTTTGTTCCACTTAAATTTGCATGAGGTGAAGTTTAATTTAATTGGTTAAGCTGAGACCAGGTCTAATTAGGCCACATTTCATAAAAGGTAAACCTTCTGGCAACTTGTTTTCTTGTAAGCCTGTTTCTACAAGGAGATACTGCAAGTTTTTTCGTTTAAATGTCAGTTTCACTGCTTGTATTTATACATTTCATGAAATTAGGGCTAAATGGTGCTGTTCCTTTTTCTCGTAGAAATCTACAACCCAAGTCTCCTCCTTTGTGAATCTGAACAGGGTTTGAGATTAAGGTTTGTCTGCTTGTAAGGGACATGTTTCCCACCAGACATGTTAAAAGTTACTAAGAAATGGGTAAGGAAAGGCCCAGGCAGTCATGGACCACCACGTCTGCACCAGAAGCCATGATGAGAGCGA